GTTGCAACGCTAACGCCGAGACCCCTGGTCGGTCGAGTTGCTCCCTGTACATCGGCACGTCGTCCCTACATCCCCTGTGTCTTGTCTTGTGTTTGTCTCCACATGTCTCTTTGTAGGGCCGTGTTCCCAATAAAAAAATAAAAAATAAAAATAAAAATCCAGCCCCGTGGAGCAACTGTCCAACCACCTCCTTTGTTCCGAGGCACTGATAAGCTGGACGTGACATCCACAGTGAAGCACCTAGGCGTTGTCGTTGATGACACATTGACCTGGATACCTCATGTAGAGCATATTGTAAGAAAGACTGCGCAGACTTTTGGCCAATTGTGGCGGCATGGGCGGTGCCTAACACTGTCGGCACGCCGGTCATGGTACATCAGCATGATAACCAGTCCTTTGTCCTATGCGTCGAATGCATTTTACTCCAGCCTTACAGCCGCACTTCTCAAGAAGCTCACGAAGATCAGTAAATCGGGCATTCGTGCTGTTCTGCGCTTGCCACCTCGAACCCCAACTGCGCCTCTCTTTATCCGCCTTAATATTTCCTCTCTTGTACATCTTTATAAGGAAAAGATGAAAGTTTTGTTCACAGATGCCTCCACTCAAATACAAGCATTCGTTTCTTCGATTTTTTCGTTGAATTTAACAACCAAGATCAGGCTACTCATAATTGTAGGAAGGAAAAGGACATATAGATACGAGTTAAGAGTAACTCTCCATCACTGCAACATGATACTATATACAGTCAGAAAGTGCAATAACTAGGCACAAAACTGACAGAGTACTGAGACATTCGACGTCCTGACACCTAGCTTCAACATATCTCCGTAGCGCTAACCGACAGCCTTCCAACTTGGAAGGTTCAAGGTTAGGGAAAGAGGGGAAGGCAAGCGCAACGAAAACGAGCAAAAGCTACAGTCCCAACGGAACAAAGAATGTCGATTGTTACTGGACAATGACGAGACCAGAACGATACAAAGCGGTCTAACTACAATTCGAAACAGCAAAGCAGCACACCACCCAACTTGGGTGGGTAATAAATATCAAAGATAAGTAAAGAAAGGGGAAGCTTTGCGAAAACGAATTGTACAAGCCGAAAGCCAAACTCCTACAGTACTCCTCATGCATGACATTGTGATGGACTGGTTGACTACAAAACAAGTTGTTTCACACGACGTACGTTTCGCCATATTATGGTTCATGACGGCTCATCAGGTGTGCAATTTGAAACTCGAATGTCAGTTTTGTGCCTAGTTATTGCACTTTCTGACTGTAATAGTATCCAGTTACAGTGATGGAGAGTTACTCTTAACTCGTATCCATATGTCCTTTTCCTTCCTACATTTATTTATGGCTCAACATCCGAGTTTCAAACTCATAATTTCTCATAATTTTTCACAAAACGCGGCATACTTTCTATCAATTCATAAAAATTAATGTATGTCATACCCTAAATACTAGGTTAATAATAAAAATCCTTTAAAATCCCATTAACTCGTTGTTGTCTGGCCATGTCTGCATCTATTATACTCTCTATTGCACTCATATTAGGTTAATCTTCATCATTAGCCATCCATGCAATTTCTTCATCATTTCTAGGAACTGGCCCCTGGCCGGTGAGAAGTCATCCTTGACTGTAAATCTGATGAACTAAAATAAAACAACAACAACAACAACAACTCTCCAAGACTGCACCCAAAACCTACAACAGAGTGTCACCGCAGCTGGAGACTGGCTTCAAAGATGGCACCTGCTGGTTAACACAAAGAAAACAGTCATCCTCCCGTTCTACCACAATAACCGCCCCCCTGAACAGCTACCCCAGATCACCCTCAGGAATAGTCCGCTTACCGTAGCACAAAAACACAAACACCTCGGAATAATCTTTCAGCATGACCTCCGTTGGACGGAGCATGTTGAATACATAGTCAAAAAATCACTCAAGTCTTTCAATATTCTTTTTAGACTAAGGTCTACACTCACCAGTGATTCTTTATCTCACATCTATCAGACATACATACTACCTATATTCTCATATGCGAGCAATGCTCTCACACCGTTGTCCCACACTTCCCTTGACAGGCTAGAACGACTCCAGCGGAAAGCCGCCAGAATATGTCTCCACCTTCCCCTTTACACACACTTAGAACACTCCCACCTTTTGCATCGCATCAAATGGCCAACATTATTTTCACGCTTTAAAGTTAAACATATACTCTTCGCGCATTCTCTGCGCCACAATTATGCCCCACCACATATACTCTCGCTGCATACTGCTAGCAACGTGCAACCTTCGTATAATTTACGTCGCTCTCGTACTTGGCACTTGCCAACTCCGCGGACTGACCGCTGTCTCCATTCTCCCCTGTACAAGGCCCTTCATTACTTTAATTGCTTGCCCACCCAGCTTCGCGAAATCCCTTCTCGTACTCCCTTCAAATCCTAGATATCCCTGCTGTTGCACAACTCTGTATGCTCGTGTAGCGACCACCCCTGCCCGTACACTTAAGTACGCAACTCTGTATGCTCGTGTGGCGACCACCCCTGCCCGTACACTTAAGTAGTCATTAACCCCTAGGCCCTGCCCACCCAATTCTTCCTCACTCCTTCTCCTTTCTTACACTATTATCTCTTATTGGCTACTCGCTATCGCACGCGCACAGAGCCCAAGGGTTCACACTCGTACGCCAGCGCAGCTCAACAGGGATCCCGCGCACAGTTCAACTGTACGCACGGGGCGGCCGAACAGGTGAGCACTGCACCCGAAGGATCCCCTGCTAGTACTAGTACTAGTAGCAAGGATGCAACACAGAAAACCGCTGAAATGAACAGCGCCAGTGCGTCTGAGAACACAACCAGCGACGGGGAATCCAAGGAAATACAGAGCAATACTCCATCCTCTGTCGACCAAACTGAGGTAGCTGAGAGTTCCAGCTTGCAGGTAATCGCTCCCAGTACACCCCCAATGTCCGGCACCCCTCCGCCTACAGGCACTGGGGCAGGCCACGATGACGGGGCCACCACGGTTGCCTCTGACGATGCGGATTGGATACCCAGCGGTCCTCGTCGTCACCGACACAGCCACGGCCATTCGACCATGGAGGAGAAAGCCAAGGCCGATGGGACATGGCCCTCCCCTCAGAGGAAACACCCGAAATACTGAGTCCAGATAAGTTTCAACAACTAGCCAAAAGACAAAAACATAAAAAAAATTCCCCCAAAAAACAAAAAAACAATACCAATGTCAGTGAATTTGAACTTTCTCAGTACCAACGTGCGTTGCTTATTCAACAAAATGGACGAGTTACTTACCTTTACCCGCTCTGAATCTCAGAACGAACTATCAGTCATTGCAGTCCAGGAAACCTGGGCTGACACATCAGACCCTAACAGTTTCTATGCAATCCCAGGCTACAAGCTGATCAGAGCTGACAGACAGGACTTTGGTGGTGGTGTTGCCTTGTATATAGCGGAACGATTCAACACAAGGGTACTGACAATACCAATGACAGCAGCAGAATGCATATGGACGAGAATTTCCACCGGTAACCTTTCCCTCGTAGTTGCAAACATTTACCGATCACCCCGTAGCGATGGCACCCTCTTCTGTGCGGAACTGGAAAGAAGCATCAAAACCGCTAGAGCCGAAGGTGACGACCTCCTACTACTTGGAGACTTCAATGCCAAGAACAGTGCGTGGCTCACCACAGACAGAACAGATCGCCTTGGGGACGACATACAAACTCTTCTACACACATACGGCCTCACACATGTCAGATTCCCTACTTACATCCACCGACAAACACCTCTCTCATGTCTAGACCTTGTTATCTCCTCACTCCACACCAATGATATTCATATCCAATCACTAAGAAGGATTACCTTTTTACCATAATGCTAGGAAGTAGAGCTCGAAGCTCGGCGATGAAGCGGATGCCAAAACTAAGCGAGAGCGAGGTATTTAGGCACACCAGCAGCTTGGTGCAACATGGTGCATTGTTATCGTATAGCGCATGCGGAGAACATAATTCTGAATGTACACTAAAAGCATTATGGCAGTTTTAGAGCCGTGGTAAATAAATTATGCGGCTGCGGACACAAGAGCGCATGCGCTACTTTCAGTTTTACAAAAGGTAAGTGCAGGCAACATAAAAATATATTCGGAGCGATGCATTTTCTACAAAGACGAAAATGCAGAGAGAAGATCATGTAAACGTGGAGCAGTGTCATTGTTATGAGACTGGAGAAGAATGTTATGAGATTGGAGAAGCCCGTTACTCTAATAACCCTGAGTAACTAAATGCAAGCTTGTTTCATGGCATGCACTATTATAATAATATAAAATGATCATGCACGTACAGTATAACCTTAAGGCCTTCTACTGAAAACAACTGCGGGCACTAACCACCATTGTGTTCCCGAAATGGATTAGGAACTAGAAGCTCTATGAGCGTACCGGCACGGTTCCTCTCGGTATGATCATTTTGAGAGCTAGGTGAAGGCTCTTTGGGCACATCATCCGGCTCCCAGCTGACTCCCCATCATCACTGGCCATAAGAGCGTACTTCGCAGAGCCTTGTCCACCGGGCTGGAGGGGACGGCCAGGACATACGCTACCAATGTTACAAGGAGATGATGCCAAGCGGATTGGACTTTCATTGTCGAGCAGAGTCAATCTGCAGGCATTCCGTGCCCTTGCTGCTGACCGAAGTGGTTGGGTGGGCATCTGTGCCGGTATAGTATCAGAACCTCAGTTTTTGTCTGCTTTTTGCATATTTCTTCTTTTTTCTGTACCGGCTTTGGACTTTTGTAGCTATTTGAAGTGGCTTACGTGAGCACTTTGGGCGGGTTTGCATGATTTGCGTGCCCATTAATGCAGCTGCAGGCAGGCCATGCAGATGCCTATGCGAGCAAGTACATAATAATATTTATAACAACAGGTTACAGCATTTTCCAGTTATCTAACGCTTAGCTAGGAGGACCAAAATAGTAAAACTTACATGGACAAGGATTCATTACAAGGTGTGTATAATTAGGGCAGTGTGCAATTGGTATGGATACTCCATTAAACATAATTGTCTTGGTTAACTTTGGGAACAAGCTACACTGGTCGCTAACTAGTGAGTTCAAATCACAAGAGGTTCCTGGTGCTGGTGGAATGTCACATGTCAGTCCACCGTCCATCACCGTGAAATCACGTCCCGAGCCACATGGCAGGTTGCGAACAGTCTCGTTATATGTTGGTTCGTTTTTATTCACAGGTATAATGTCTGCAGATTAACGTGAAAAGCAGACATGTTGGTAAATAAGAGAAACTCGACATATATAGCACCAGTACAGTGTATTATTCATAGGCGGAAAGGGGAAAAAACTGGAACAGTGTGCATGATGTGTAGTAGAAGAATACGCTTGTTGCATTGCAACAGGCGCATACTGAGTCCGCAACCTTACTTATGCTGGATGGCTTGATATAGATGACGGAGGGGACAGCAACGTGTATACAAGGGAATATTCTACGTTTGTACGGTACTGACGGTACTGACGTTCTACAACTAACTGGCTAACAGCTCTAACTGTTAGCACATCTTGGATGCACACTCCAACAGCCTTCCAACTTGGAAGGTTCTAAGTTGTAGAATACCCCATGCTTAACTTGGTTGCGCTCACCTATACTACATTTTGATATAAATGCAGTTCAATTCTTTTTCTGGAATTCAGGACCACTATAATCAAACACGCTTTATCTGTAATCGTCAGGGAAATCTCGCATAACAACTAAACTATCGTAATCCGACATCATCATTATTCATTTTTCTCATATCTTTCTCATACATATTCATATCGCAGATTTCTCGTTTTTGGTAGGAATCGGACAATCCTCTCTCCGGTGAGAAGGCAGTATTCCTGTGCCCTGTGCGAATTGAAATAAAAGAATACAACAACAACACGGCTGAGACAAATACACTGGAATCAATTATGAGAGGCAATCATTTCTTCGCATATTTCTGTAAACAGTCCAATGACCTAACATTATTTTGACATAACTTTACTATTTATAGGTTAGTGCATGGCAGGGAGGGCCCTATGGCTTGTTAGTGCCCTCCAGGGTAGTCAGAGGGCCGTAGGCCCGAGGGCTACCCTGGAGGGCACTAACAAGCCATTGGGCTCTCCCTGCCATGCATTAACTATTTTAGAACGAGGTCAATCCCGTTGCCTTGGAGCTGACCAATCAGCGACTTTCCCAGCTACTTAATTTTCCCTTTTCAAACAACTTCTCTTTATTATTATTATTATTTATTATTATACGCACGTCCGCGTTTACGTCAACAGTAAATCCACGTATTCGCATGTGCCAGAAGACAGGTAGAGTGGGCAGAGAGGAAAACAAAAATAAATAAAATAAAAAAATAAATGTAAAACAGCAGGCCATTGGCACATAACTCATGTTCGATGATAGGTGCTCAATGCACGGGATCTATTCGAAAGATCAAAAAATAAAAAAACAAGAATAACAGACAACGACGATAGGTTTGTAACTCATGGTCGATGGTAAGTGCTAAATGCACGGGATCTGTACAATGCCTCTGTCCCATCCGTTAGTTACTGCATACATCCTGGCACAGCCTGCGCCACACAGGCCTGTCAGCGGCGATGGCCCACAGGTGCTCCAGGTCTGCCAAGTTCCTCAGACTCCTCAGTCCTGCTGATTCTAGGTCCGCGGATAGTGTGGACACGATGGTTGTCCGTGGCCGCCCTCGCCATACCTTGTCCACACAGGTGAAGTTACTCCGCATAGCAAGGGCGGCAGGCGTGTCTTGAGGGAGTCTGAGGATATGCCCAAACAGGCCCCATCTGGATCGCCGCATGAGGGCACTGATGGGCTCTGCGTGGCATCTGCCGTACAGGGCTTTGTTTGGAATCACCTGCGGCAAGCGGATACCCAGGAGACTCCGAAGTTGTCTTCGATGGAATGTGTCCAGACGCTCCCATGCTGAAGCCGTCAGTCCCCAGGTGCCTCCATTGTACGTTAGCACAATGCCATCTGGGCACACCGGTGGATGGCTGCAATTGCCCAGAAGTACCACAGCGTAATAGAGATTCACGGAATAGATATGTCGAGGGCTTCGACACCGCTTCAAGGGAGAAGCTGCTGAGTACCATGAGAGCAATCGTCACGGAGGATGACATCCGACTGGTACGGATATTGCTGTCAAACACGACCATATCTGTCCGTCTTGGAAAGGAAGTTTCACCTGATTTCAAGTCCACCATCGGAACCCCCCAAGGTGACTCTCTCTCTCTCCTGTAGTATTTGTGATCTACCTGGAATCAGCCTTGAGGGAGATCAGAGCATCGATTCCGCCCAGGCCAATGCGCGACATGGCTCTACCACCAGAAGTGATTTATGCCGATGACATTGATTTCATCAGCCAATCCAGACCCTGGCTGGAGAGCATCGAACCGTATATCATCGCCATCCTTGGAGACTAGCACCTAAAGGTCAACGAAGATAAAACAGAAAAAACAACATTGCGCCGGGAAGGAGACCGCCTGGCTGAAGTATGGCGGAAAACAAAAAAACTCGGATCACTCCTCGGCGAGGAGGAAGATGTTGCACAAAGGAAATAATTAGCAACGGCAGCCTTCAGAGCGCTATTCACGGTATGGTGTCGTCGATCGATCATCAGCGAAAGTCTACAGCTAAGGCTTTACAACGCGTTTATCATCCCTGTGCTAACGTACTTCTCTTTAGGAGGACAGAATTAAAGAATGTTTATTATTCTCGCAAAATAACCTCACTAATTGTAAGGCAGCATGTTGATTGTAACATTGCAGTTATGCAGACCTCCACTAAATACAGTTTGAAGAGCATTATCGATTCTTTGCTGTTGTTGTTGGGGATTAAAGCATGGAGCTGGTCTTGGACAGGCAACATTAACTTCTGAATGAGGCTCTGCGATTCGAAGAGATGAAGATGGCGGTGGCTGCATTTGAGACGGAGGATCAAGGACAAACGTTGAACATAATTCTTTCGACGTATTCTGTCGAAGACCCGCTTTTACGGATGACGGATTGACCAGTGGACACGAATTTGACGATAGAATGTAGGGTCGGATTTGCGAGTTGGTTCGTGAAGATTGAGATAGTGCAGGACTTGTTGTAGATGTGACGTTGTCAGAAGAGTCTTGAGGTCCCTTTTGACGTGAGGTGGATGGTTCTTGACAGTCTTGATCAGGTGAACTTGACCTCTCATCTGATTCCCTTGGCACTGAATTTGCTTGTCGTCTTTCCGATGATTGAGATGAAGGTGCATCTAGAACAGCTTTGTTGTTCATCAGTTGACTTGCTGTAGCCTGCCAGGCTCATGGCATTTCGGTGTCCTGTTACCTGCATGATGTGTCGATCTGTAGCTCCTGCTGCTGAGAGACGGTGGACAGTAGTAGCCCGTACAGAATGGTTCGCGTATGTCTTAGACAAACCACACACTTTAGACAGCTTGGGCATTATTTGAGCGAGGGAATTTTTGCCCAAGGGAATATTCTCAAACCATATCTGCTCCCCTTTCCTCAGGTTCGGTTTGGGCTTTTGAAAGAGCGCTTCTTGCTGAAGATGTAGGCGTGACAGCAGATACTTGACACTGAAGACTTGATCTCCGTCCTGTATTCTTCCTGCGGTCGGCGGGTCATGTCTATCAGCGATACCACCGGGATGATTTTTGCTGGTAATATCAACGTTGAGAAGGAAATATTCATCTCCGTTGTCGTCCTTCTTGAGAACCAGGTCAGTTTTCTTCACCTGTCGTTGGATTTCTCTTCCACGGAGTGCAAAGTGATAGGTTATATAGAACCATACCTCCATTACAAGAACCTCCGGCTCCTTGCATCGTAAGAACTTGTCCTTCAGCTTCTTGAAGTCATCGTCTGTGATATAGTCCTTGTGGTTGACTGGTCGTAGTTCTCCTTCTCGCTTCAATTTCTTGAGTACTCCATCCAAGCAGTTGTTGGAAGGGGCAAATTTAGGATCGCTGATGATATTCCATTTCCCTTTTTCAACCACGTGTCGGCGTAGAGTTTGCACAGGAAAGTATTCAGTTCAGACTTTGAACACTTCTCAATTTTTATTGGACGTGGTTGCTTCTTGTTGAACGTATTGAAAACAGAAAGCCAACTTTGATTTGCTTCCTTGGTTTTGGCAGGTACTCTGGAATCCGGAACTTCCGTCAGATCCTCTTCACTTACAGATCGGAATCTTTTAGGGTTGGGTGTTATGTCAAGGTTTATGTTATGTAGGATTATGTTGTGTAGAACAACATTTGTATGGGAGTGATGCTATGCAGACGACATGACACTGTATCAGTGCATCTCTGCCACCGCCAGCATATCCGACTCTGCAGCACAACTCCAGGAAGCAGTGGACGCCGTCTCCCACTGGGATTCCAAGTGGAAGGTCACCTTCAAGCCATCCAAATCTCAGGCCCTCATCATCGACCACCGCAAGCCTCCCCCAGCGTTCCCACCAGTGGTCTTCGACGGAGTGACTGTTCCTGAAGAGAGGGAAATTAAACTTCTGGGCATAGCATTCGACTCGCAACTGTCCTACGCAGCACACCTCCGGGCCGTGGCCTCAAAGGCTGCCCAACGCCTACACTTCCTGAGAAAGGTTGCACCCCTGTTGGACTCCAGCGGCCGCACGGCAGTCTACAAAGGCTTCGTGCGGCCAACAATGGAATACTGCTGCCTGGTGTGGATGGGGTCAGGTACATCCAGGCTGGAAAAATCCAGCACAAGGCACTGAAGGTGATTAGCCCAGGCGCCTGGCTCCCCAGCCTGAAACACCGCCGACTGGTTGCTGCGCTTTCGTTCACGTTCAAGCTGTCCTACGTTCCAACAACAAGCCCCCTGAATCCCATCCTCCCACCTCCAGCCAACCCCCGCCCAGTGGGTGGTCGATCCACTAGTAAAGCCATGGAGACTGCCCACTGCCACCCGCTCCAGCTCAAGTCGACGCTGCCCGTGCGCATTTGTAGCAGCCTTCAGGGTTCCTACCCAGACTGCATTATTCCCTTGTGGAACAGCCTACTAGCGACCATTCTACCAGCACGGCTGCAACCCAGACAGCTCCAATCCTTCAAGGAAAAATGCAACAAGTATCTGCTGCACCTGAACTGGCAAGCAGCCATCGACGCCCTATGAAACGGTTTAGACCAGCGCCTCACTAGCATCCCCCCCCCCCACCACAATGTGACGTTATCTTTCACTCTGCTTCTCTCACGACCATCTACCCATTGTCCTCGTTTCTCACTATTATTCATTTCCCCTCTTCCTCCCCTCCTCATGGTTTTACTGCATAATGGTGCGCTTTGTCTGCGTAGACCCCGAGACCTTTGAGGTCGGCAGAGCAGCCTGGCCCCACCACCACTTCTCGCACATATTCGGGAATATAGTGGACATTCGTATAATAAAAAATGCTGTTTTACGTACTAGCGAGGTTTATGTACAAGTGAGAGTTATTATCGAGAGCAGACCTGTAATTATATTGATTTGCTAATTGTGGACACCCCTAGCATTGCAAAAAAAGTGTCAAACTGGTAAATGTTTGGAAAAAGATTTCGGCATGAGCTACTTACATTATGAGTCTGGATCAGCAAAAACCATCACATGTGCAAAATTTTCAAAAAATATTTTTGTTCCAAATTGATCCACAACCACTGATATCCAGTCTCAAGAAATTTTAGATCAATCACACCACCGGAAGTGGGTAAAAAATGCGGTACATTGCATCTCTGTACAAATGTTTGAAGTGGCATTTCTGCAACATTTTGCGTGGTAATGTCTGGTAGAGGTTTTAAATTGTTTGTATCCAGAATCGATTTCGACGCTCCGATTATCAATGGAAACATGCGATTCAAGTGATCAAGTGAATAAAGAAATGTAAATATAGAGGAAAAACACATTTGAAATGCATCAGCTATCCACAACTGTAACAAGATAATAAGTGGTCAGAAAGGGCGATGACAGGGCACAAAACTGACAGGCTGCTGAGATATTCAACGACCTGAGACCTAGCTCTAACTATTTACTGGTTCAGAATCCGAGTTAAATGAACAAAGTTTACCCTGGGACGTGTTAAAAACTCCACCTAACCTGAAGTTCTTGCAGACATTCAAAACCATGGCTAACCTACACCTTTGCTGGATTTGGGCAACTTATCCTGTCTACTCACACATCATCTTTCTCTCTCTTTTCATCTTATCCCTCTTGTATCTGCCTTCTCTCATATTTTCTCTCTTCTTGTTCCTTCTCTTTTTCTATCCACCTGTGCATTGTCTGACATGAAAGGATCCACCCGTTTTCTTTTCCTTTTTTCAGGTGCAATCGTGGCATGTTGATGCTGAGACCAATGGTCAGTGGAGTGCCTCCAACACTGTTACTCTGTAGCACCCATCTTCCCAATTGTTCTCTTTTTGTCATTTTCATGTTCTCCCATTTTCCCGATCCCGCTGGGTCAGCGTTCTTGAAGGAAATATTCCTATTTTTTCATGAAAAGAATCTGAACTATTACTTACCATACTTGTTCTGGTAGCTTATTTGTGGCCTGTTTAGCTCCTGGGTACCGCTAAAAAGGAGAAAATAAAATAACCAAAATTACTCATGCTCTCTCCATTCCTCACTTTCAAGTAGTAACCGCTGCATTTTGGCTGCTCAGTGACTATTGCTGCTTGTGCTCCGTTTCCCACACGCACACGCACACTTCCCCGCACTCACACTAGCACACGCATGCACATATTTACATACGCCCATCTCCATACACACCTATATCCGGTTGTGCACTTTCATTTCTCTTGGGGGTTTTTCTTTTCCTTTTTTGTCACGTGGACAATCAACCGTCACACGCAGCAGAGCTCAAAAGAGATAGAAGCGGAAAGGTTAGCAATACATTGCTTTAAATACCGATCATAGGAAACACGAGAGGGTTTGGAGGGAAATATGACCGAAAGAACTCCACCACCCACCCCAGAGCATTATTGCAGTTGTTTGGCACTGTTCGTCGTGAAGGTAAGAAACAGATCCCTTGATCTCTTGATACTTTCTCTCTTTTTCTTGTCACTACTTTTTTGTCACTTATTGGATTTGCATGCTGTTTTCTTGACTCTTCACATCTATTCACATCTATTTTTTCATGTCAATTCTACACATAATTGGAGTGATGTCTCCGAGCTTCTTTTCCTTATAGTTGTAGTCTTTTAGCTTATTTCCATCATTCCCTGTAGTATTTCGAGAAGAAGCAGACCACCCAACTTGGGAGGCTCAAGTTTATGTAATAAACGTAGAAAGGGGAAGCTGAGCGAAGACGAATTGTGACAAACCGAAATGTTAATTATTTATTAATAATAATAATGATAAACAAGAAGGTGACAAAACACATTTAGGCACAAGTGGCAACAACGTTGCCACACCACACAAACGAACATTATTTGAACAATTTTAGGGTAATAATAGCTATGAAAAGTATGAATGCTGCAGACATCACCACACAACATGACAATTTGTCCAAGGTTTAAGATTGTGTGTTTCCAGAATCGATTTTCAAGCTCCGATCATCGGTGGCAATAAGGAACTAAAGTGATCAAAGGAAAAACAAAGGTTAAAAATCCAAAGAAGTGTGACACATTACGCGTAAGTATTACAAAAGGTGAGGGCTAAGATAAAAAAGTAAGTGTGCATAAGCCCGATTTGTGTAAGCAAAAAGAACATGTTGTAGCACTTAGGTTATTTTCGTACTGGGCCGAACTTGAGCGGGGGTGTTGAGCATGCATATGTGTTTTGGCAACTTGTGGGGCATATTGATATTTTATGGAGTGGGCAAGAAGGGTGAGCTTCACTTTGCGGCGAGAGAACATTGTCGGCCATTTGAGCCGATGGAGCAGTGTTGAATGATTCAGAGGAGTGTAGAGGGGGAGACGGAGGCAGATTCTGGCCGCCTTGCGCTGAATTCGCTCAAGACCGTCAAGGGCTGCGATTGAGAGCGGGGTGACAGCAAGGCATGCACATTCAATTATAGGCAGGATATATGTTTTGTAAATGAGAGAGAGAGAGAGTAAATTAGTGTGTAGAGTTGATTTGAGCCTAAAGAGAATATTAAAAGATTTTACGGCTTTCTTCAGCACAAAGTCAAGGTGGGCTGACCATCTTATTATTATTGCAAATAACGCTGAGTAATTACATGAATGCATAAAAACCAGCATTTGCTTCCGGGAAGGATTCACAAACATAAGACAAAAACACAATGGTTAAATGTAACTGCACATACGAAAAGCAGCTTCTATTGTCAAGTTCGAGTGGCAATGTCAGAAAGACGGTAGACTGTTCGTGCACGATGTTCACCCTGCAGGGGATAAGTCAAGGACGCGGCTCGGCAGAGGAAGATGAGTGCCGCGGGGTGCCATTCCACCGTGACTTATCCCCTGCCAACTGCCGCAGCTGATTAAGGCCTCTAAGCGTCTTAGGTCATGCTGAAAGCTGATGCCGAGGTGACGATGTTGTGTTACTGTTTCTAGTATGGTTTGCCCAAGTTATTTCAGGTAGTCGTGGTGGGGGTCGGTTAGCATGGCAGAATGGGAGGATGACGGTTTTCGTTTTATTGACTAGCAGGTGCCAGCGCTCTAGCCATTCTGCTGCGGCATCGACGCTTCTTTGTAGCGCAGCTTCACACTCAATGTAGCTGCCTGCAATGGCAATTAGTGCGGTGTCATCCGCGAACTGGCTACACGAGGTTGTAGCATTTTCACAGGCAGTGGGCAGGTCAATGGTGTACACCAGGAACAGAAGTCCCAGGACAGAGCCCTGGGTCACTCCTGCTGGTATTGGTACGAAGGTGGATGTTGTGCCTTCAACCTGCACCCGCTGTCTGCGTCCTGTCAAGTAGGCTCTGAGCCACTTGTGAGCCTTGCCGTCAACACCGTAGTGGCTCAGCTTTTTCAGCAAGCCTTGATGCCATACACGATCAAAGGCTTTACTGACATCGAAGAAACACGTAACAACATGCTTCCCCGCATCCCTAGCTGTGGATATCTGGTGGCCGATCCGTGCGAGTTGCAGTTCGGTCCCGTCTTGTTTCCTGAAGCCGGATTGGTTGGAGGGTAAGTGGGGTGCTATGTGATTGTACAGACGAGAGTGGACTATTTTTTCTTGTGTTTTTGATATTATACTGAGCAGAGAGATGGGTTGGTAGTTGGTAGGATGGGAGGGGTTGCCCGACTTGGAGATGGGTGTAATAGTTGCGTCTTTCCAATCCTGTGGTATTTCTCCGGTTCTGAAGGACAGCTTGTAGAGACTAGTGAGAGTTTGGGAGATTTCCTTTGCAGTTTCTTTCAGGAGCCGAGTTGGGATGTTGTCAATGCCTGTGTTGTTGTTGTTGTTTCAAATCTTTGTTGTTGTTGTTGTTGTTGTTGTTGTTGTTGTTGTTGTTGTTGTTGTTGTTGTTGTTGTTTCAAATCTTTATTCTCACGATAGCCAGTGGCCAATAAGAGAAAATAGTGTAAGAAAGGAGAAATAGTGAGGAAGAATTGGGTGGGCAGCGCCTAGGGGTTAATGACTACTTAAGTGTACGGGCAGGGGTGGTCGCCACACGAGCATACAGAGTTGCGTACTTAAGTGTACGGGCAGGGGTGGTCGCTACACGAGCATACAGAGTTGTGCAACAGCAGGGATATCTGGGATTTGAAGGGAGTACGAGAAGGGATTTCGCGAAGCTGGGTGGGCAGGCAATTAAAGTAATGAAGGGCCTTGTACAGGGGAGAATGGAGACAGCGGTCAGTCCGCGGAGTTGGCAAGTGCCAAGTACGAGAGCGACGTAAATTATACGAAGGTTGCACGTTGCTAGCAGTATGCAGCGAGAGTATATGTGGTGGGGCATAATTGTGGCGCAGAGAATGCGCGAAGAGTATATGTTTAACTTTAAAGCGTGAAAATATTGTTGGCCATTTGATGCGATGCAAAAGGTGGGAGTGTTCTAAGTGTGTGTAAAGGAGAAGGTGGAGACATATTCTGGCGGCTTTCCACTGGAGTCGTTCTAGCCTGTCAAGGGAAGTGTGGGACAACGGTGTGAGAGCATTGCTCGCATATGTGAATATAGGTAGTATGTATGTCATGATAGATGTGAGATAAAGAATCACTGGTGAGTGTAGACCTTAGTCTAAAAAGAATATTGAAAGACTTGAGTGATTTTAGACTATGTATTTAACATGCTCCGTCCAACGGAGGTCATGCTGAAAGATTATTCCGAGGTGTTTGTGTTTTTGTGCTACGGTAAGCGGACTATTTCTGAGGGTGATCTGGGGTAGCTGTTCAGGGGGGCGGTTATTGTGGTAGAACGGGAGGATGACTGTTTTCTTTGTGTTAACCAGCAGGTGCCATCTTTGAAGCCAGTCTCCAGCTGCGGTGACACTCTGTTGTAGGTTTTGGGTGCAGTCTTGAAGAGTTCTCGCTATGGAAATCAGAGCGGTGTCATCTGCAAATTGGCTACAGGTGGTGCCGGGATTCTCACATGCGTGTGAAAGGTCTATGGTGTAGACAAGGAAGATTGTTGTTTGAAATATTTTATTCTCACGATGGCCTGTGGCCAACAAGAGAAAAATAATTACAGGCATTGGGATCAGATACAGAGAGATCAAAGTTTAGCTGCTTGCTGAGGCAGTAGCGATGGCAATAGGGAGTTTATCACATAGGCTGGGCGCAATGGAGCTATATATGTGCTGAGCAATGTGAGCAAGTACATACGGAAGAGATGACAAGTGGTAGGATGTTTGCTTTGAAATCTCGTCTGGGGTTGATTTGCCGGAGGCTGAGTGGAATGCTAATAAAAGAGATCAAGAGAAGCATAGATGGGGGAGTCCCTTAGCCGGTTTGTACGTGTTGTGGGCAGCTCAAAGGTCCAGGGGAACCTGAGCGTGCGAATGGGTTGTATTCGGGGTAGGTGAATTGCAAGAAGGTGTGGTGGTGCATATCTATGATGCAGGCTATGTGCTAGAAGGATATGGGAGAGGGTACGGCGGATACTGAGTGATGGCCATTTGAGTCGGTGCAGCAGCACGGAGTGGGTTCTGTGTTCAAAGAGGGGGAAATGCAAACAGAGGCGAGCGGCGCGCCGTTGGATGCGCTCAAGCCGGTCGTTCAGGGTTGCGGGGAGGGGTGAGAGGACAGTGCAAGCTTACTCAAGAAAAGGGCGGATGTAGGTTAGATAGATGGAGGAGAGAGCAGAAGAGTTTAAGGAATTGCGTAGTCGCAAGAGAAGGAACATCTTCCTGGTCGCTTTAGTGATGATGTAGTCAACATGCGAGTTCCAGCATAGATACTGCTGTATGAGGACGCCAAGGTGGCGATGCCTTGAGGCCACAGTGAGGTTGGTATCATTGAGTGTGATTGATGGTGGTCTGGGAGGTGGCCGGTTGGTGTGATGAAAGTGGAGGACAGTGGTCTTACTTTCGTTGACCAGGAGATGCCAATCCTTCAGCCACTGTGCCGCGGTTGTCACAGCTGACTGGAGGTGCTCTTCTGCGGCGAGAAATTTCTCGTGAGCGGCAGTGATGGCAGTGTCGTCGGCAAACTGGCTGCACA